TGATGGTGTGGTTGGGAGAGAAGCGTTGCGTATGGGTATTTTGAGTTGGATGGAAGGAGCAGATGGGTGCGTGGTTGGACGGAGGTTCGTTGAGAGAGGAAGGGGCAGGAGTTAGGCGTGATGAGAGGTGGTTGGGTTTGTGGAATGTTGCGGAGAGCTCGACGAAGGGAGTGTAGGCATTGTTTATGGGCGTGCAGCAAGTGCGTAGTTGAGGCGTCAGCTGTGTTTGTGAGGGTGCAGTGGATGGTTTGCGATTAGTAAATGCGCGGCTGTGATGGTGAGGTTGGGAAAGAAGCTTTGCGCATAGGTTATTCCGGTTGGGTGTAAGGAGCAGATGGGTGCGTGGTTGGACGGCAGTTCGTTGGGAAAGGAAGGGGCAGGAGTTAGGCGTGATGAGAGGTGGTTGGGTTTGTGGAATGTTGCGAAGAGGTCGGCGAGACGAATGCTGCCGCTATTCAAGGGCGTTCAGGAAGTACGTAGGCGTGTCGAGAGTCGTGTTGGTGAGGGTGGAGTGGATGGTTTGTGGTTAGCAGAAGGTCGAGCGTGATGGTGTGGTTGGGAGAGAAGCGTTGCGTATGGGTAATTTGAGTTGGATGGAAGCAGCAGATGGGTGCGTGGTTGGACGGAGGTTCGTTGGGAAAGGAAGGGGCAGGAGTTAGGCGTGATGAGAGGTGGTTGGGTTTGTGGAATGTTGCGGAGAGCTCGACGAAGGGAGTGTAGGCATTGTTTATGGGCGTGCAGCAAGTGCGTAGTTGAGGCGTCAGCTGTGTTTGTGTGGGTGCAGTGGATGGTTTGCGGTTAGTAAAGCGCGGCTGTGATGGTGTGGTTGGGAGAGAGGCGTTGCGTATGGGTAATTTGAGTTGAGTGTAAGGAGCAGATGGGTGCGTGGTTGGACGGCAGTTCGTTGGGAAAGGAAGGGGCAGGAGTTAGGCGTGATGACAGGTGGTTGGGTTTGTGGAATGTTGCGGAGAGCTCGACGAAGGGAGTGTAGGCATTGTTTATGGGCGTGCAGCAAGTGCGTAGTTGAGGCGTCAGCTGTGTTTGTGAGGGTGGAGTGGATGGTTTGTGGTTAGCAGAAGGTTGAGTGTGATGGTGTGGTTGGGAGAGAAGCGTTGCGTATGGGTAATTTGAGTTGGGTGGAAGGAGCAGATGGGTGCGTGGTTGGACGGCAATTCGTTGGGAAAGGAGGGGGCAGGAGTTAGGCGTGATGAGAGGTGGTTGGGTTTGTGGAATGTTGCGAAGAGGTCGGCGAGACGAATGCTGCCGCTATTCAAGGGCGTTCAGGAAGTACGTAGGCGTGTCGAGATTTGTGTTGGTGAGGGTGGAGTGGATGGTTTGTGGTTAGCAGAAGGTTGAGTGTGATGGTGTGGTTGGGAGAGAAGGCGTTGCGTATGGGTAATTTGAGTTGGGTGGAAGGAGCAGATGGGTGCGTGGTTGGACGGAGGTTCATTGGGAAAGGAAGGGGCAGGAGTTAGGCGTGATGAGAGGTGGTTGGGTTTGTGGAATGTTGCGAAGGGGTCGGCGAGACGAATGCTGCTCTATTTTAGGGCGTTCAGGAAGTGCGTAATTTAGGCGAGAGTTGTGTTGGTGAGGGTGGAGTGGATGGTTTGTGGTTAGCAGAAGGTTGAGCGTGATGGTGTGGTTGGGAGAGAAGCGTTGCGTATGGGTAATTTGAGTTGGGTGGAAGGAGCAGATGGGTGCGTGGTTGGACGCCAGTTCGTTGGGAGAGGAAGGGGCAGGAGTTAGGCGTGATGAGAGGTGGTTGGGTTTGTGGAATGTTGCGAAGGGGTCGGCGAGACGAATGCTGGCGCTATTTTAGGGCGTTCAGGAAGTACGTAGGCGTGTCGAGAGTTGTGTTGGTGAGGGTGGAGTGGATGGTTTGTGGTT